AGCATAATGCAGAATACAAGCACCCAGTTGCCGTCGAGAATAAGGAGGAGGTTGAGAAGAGTTTGATTTAATTATTTCATTACAGTCTATACTATGGAATATGCGAGTACATAATATTTATATAACAATATCGATGATATTTCTTAGGCTTTTCTTCTAGCACAGTAAAAAAAAAAAAATGGCAGAGAGGAAAAAGAATCCACTTAGTTGGAAATAACTCATTCTTATTTCCAGACCAAACCCTACAATTGAATTCAGTCTCTGAAATTTGGGCAAATTGCATGATTTTGTTTCCACTCTGACCTTTGGAATCTGGCTGATTAAGGCTCAGTCTGCAAGTGCAGCTGGTCTGTCCTTATACTAAACTGATCTACTAGAAGCCAGGCAACCAGCTACTAATCATCCAGTATCTGGTTAATCTTTACTGCTTACGAGTTCCCAGATTTTTCAACTGCCTGTATTCAGGTGCTTGAAGGAGCTGTTTCCTTTCGTCTTTGTCCTGAAGCACCAGGACATGAAGGACGGTTTTCTGTGGGAAGGGTCACTGTACAACTTAGAAAAGATTCATTGGCAGCCACTGAGCCCCGGGGCTGTGGTCCCCCAGCCAAGCCCCACGCAGAGGGCACACACCAGCTCGCCTCGGTCACAGCTAGATTCTTCTCTCTCCCGTGACTGGAATGGAACCGTAGAAATATGGGTGGCATCACTTCACACACGGTACCATCAGTGGAGAGCCTCATTGCCGACTATAAAAAGACACCACAATGAACCAGGGGGTCCTGTCTGTGGTCTCTGGCTTTATGGAAAGGACATTTTGCAGGGTAACTGTGTGTTAAGGATATACTTTGGCTATCTCCCCTGGCAGGGTCAGTTGGAGGGAGAGCTAATCACTCAGTAAACAGAGAGAAGAGAGATGCTTATACTTAATAAGCCATTGCAAATGGAAAAAGCAAGCTCGTACCCAATGCGATTCTCTCTAGAAACAAATGGCTTGGATCCAAACACTACAAAGCCCTTTCAGAATGCTGAGGGGTCTCCTGGTCCCAGCGCCCCCAGGACGTAATCCTTCTGTCTTTTGGCTTTCACATGGAAGTGGCTTTAACAAGGGGAGAGGAAATGATTGTGTGTGCCTGCGTGTGTCACAGTAGTGATTTTTTTTTTCTTTTGTCTTAAGTTACCGAGCTCTTGATGTGCAGCACATCCTTCTCTCTGGGGAGCAGACGCAGCAATTAAAGGGGAGGGCCAGACGAATCCTCGCCTCCTGGAGGTGAGGTGCCGGGAACTGCCTCCCGCAGCACCCTTCCCCAAGGGGCTGCCCAGCCCCCTCCCTGCACTCCCTGAACCCCGGAGAGCAGCAGCACCGGAGAGCTGGGGCTGTTCAGCAAGTGGCAAAGTTGGCCTGGTGGCAGAAGGGAGACCGAGGTCTCTGCCAAGGCTTGCTGCTCTGGTTTCTCTCGTCTCTGTCCTGTGCCAGCCCTCCTGTCAGATGGAAGGAACAGTGTGCTTCAGTGGGCCAAGTCAAGCTCAGGCTAGAAGCCTCGGCCACGACCCAGCCACCACAGTCTTCACGCAGTATCTTGTGCCCGCTCTAGATATTTCCACTTTAAATGCGGGCAATAAAAACACTAACCTGGGGGCCCCTGGCTGGCTCGGTCGGTAGAGCATGTGACTCTCCATCTAGGGGTGGTGAGTTTGAGCCCCATGTTGGGGGCAGAGTTTACTAAGAAAAAAACAAAAAGAAAACATGAATCTGTTTCCTCGGGCACTACTATATAAAAAAAAAAAAGAAGAAGAAAGTATTCTAGAGCATTCTGTAAATACACTACGCATACGTACTAAATAAGGTTGGCATGAGATCACCGGCAGATCAGGCCGTGGAAGGAAGTGGAGGGATGCTCTGTAAGAGAGAGAGAGCTCCCCAAAAGGGAATTCTGGGAGCAGAAGGGCAGCTGCCCAACCCCCCCCCCCCCCCGCTTGGACACTTGCTTCCCCCTCCCCCCCAAGGAGAAAGGATTTCAAAGATTTCCACCAGTCCACATGGCTGATGTCTGGGACCCTAGTATCTCTTTCAGTTGGAAGAAATCAAAGAGTCCAGGAGAAAGACAAGCACCATTTTTTTCCCTCTCTTTCCTTTCTACTTAAGAGAAGGTGAATCTCTGGTCTCCTTAGAATTACCATAGGATCCAGCAATCCCACTTCTAGGTATAGACCCCCAAAGACTCGAACGTGAGATCTAAATGTACACCCATGTTCACAGCAGCACGATTCACGGTAGGCAAAACATGGACACAACTCAAGTGTCCACTGATGGAAGAATGAAATGAACAAAATGTGGTCTATCCATACCAAGGCTGTTACTCCGCCTTGAAAAGGAAGGAAATTCTAGCACGTGCTACAACATGGATGAACCCTGAGGACAGTAAGTTGAGTGAAATAAGCCAGTCACAGAAGGACACACACTGTATGATTTACGTAAGGTAACTGGAGGGGTCAAACCCATAGGGACAGAAAGTAGAGTGGTTCCCCCAGCGCCTGGGTGGAGTGGGGGGGGGGGGATGGGGAGTTCGTGTTTGATGGGGACAGAGTTTCAGTTCAGAAAGATGAAAAAGTTCTGGACACGGAAGGTGGTGACGACTGTACAATAATGGGAATGTCCTTAATGCCACTGAACTAATACCCCTAAAAATGGTTAACGTGATCAATTTGTGTGTATTTTATCACAAGAGAAAATATTTGTATGTCTGACATCACGTTCCACCCTCATAACATCCTTGAGGGAGGAATAGGGCTTTCTAATCTCCATTCTCTAAACCCAGGAAGGCAGGGCAGAGGGCTGTCGATGAGATCCATTCCTTCCCCCTGGAGTCTGGACTCCAGGACCACCTCTCATCACATCGCCAAGTTCAACCATCCTATCCAAGGCTGTTCTCAGGCCTTCCCTGCCTCTGGCCCTTTGCTTGGAGGCACTGGAGGTAAGTCACCTCCACCGTTAAGTTGCAGGGCATTTGGCAGCTGTGGGATATCAGGAGAGGGTGATTCGGGCCTGCCACCCCTCCTCCTTGTCGTCCTTGTTTCACAGCTGGTCACAGATATCAGCCTCTGCAGATGTCCTGACCCGATAGGAGTGCGTGCCCCCTGTTTTTATCTCAGGTGACCAAGTTCCTCACAGTGGCTTGGAACCTTCAGGAGGGGCTTAGACCTCCTCAAATTGCCACCTACCTCCTGGGTAGGTGGGTCCCTCTCTTCCACTCTCCTTTTTTGCCCTCTTTGGAGACCCTCCCTTCCTGGGCTTCACCACTGGTCAGACTTCTCCCACTTTCCAGGACAGCTCCTCAGAATCCATTCTCTTTCCTCCCTGGGGACATTAAATCTCTCCCGAGGCCATCCCGGACCAAACTGCCCTCAGTTGAGCGCTTCCTTTCTGTTTCATTACCGTTATCCTCTTTCACATCCTTTCCTCAACCCTCTGGAAGCTTCTTTGGCTGCAGACCTCTTCATTACATGGCTGTTCTTTTGGAAGACAGGTGTGCCCTCCCAGGGCTACTTGGGACTTGCCTTCAGAGCCCAAAAGGAAAAAGAGAGAACTTGAACGACACCAGGGCCCTATCACCTCAGGTGCAAGGCGATCCAACTTCTTCGGTGGCCTGGGGGACCGTGGAAGGGAAGGGAAGAGAGGACAGGGGCGTAGGGGACAGCCCCTGGCGGGCAGGCAGGCCAGAGGGGTATCGCTTCCCTCAGAAAGTGGGCTTCAGAGGGGGGCTCCGGATTCCGGAGCATGTGTGTACGTGTGTGGCGAGGGTGGGGTGTCTAGCCCCGGAGTGCGAGGAGGGTGGGGGGAGAGAACCCTCCAGGCCAGGCCCCTGCGCCTCTTGGGTCCTAACCTCCACCCAGCGCCAACTTTTTGCTGCTCCCGTTAGATGGCGCTCAAGACTTTTCTAACCACTTGTGAAAGTGAGCCTGGCCCGGAACAAAAAGCACCGCGGGGTGTGAGTGTGAGTGATGGGGAGGGCGCGCGCGAGGCCGGGCACAGGCGCGGGCGTCGCCCCGGCACCACGCGGGGCCCCACGTCGCGGGTCAGCCGGGCTCCGGGTGGAGCGCGCTTCTAGGAGGCCCCTCCGCAGGGCCGGCCGAGAACTTTCGCCATTTCCTTGCCCAAGTGGGAAACACTCGGGTTCGCTGCTGGGGCCCTGGCGGCGCTCCCCGGGAGCAGACGGGCGCCCGGCCGCGGCCTGGGGAAGCCGGCGCCCGCGGCCCCGGAACGCGGGTGCCGGGTGCGCGGGGAGGGGGAGAGGGGCCGGGGCCGCGCCGCGAACTGGGGCGCAGACACCAGCGTGTCGTGACGCGCTCATTACAACCCCTTCCTCTGTCCCGACTTACCGCCCCAGCTCTCTTTTTAAAAGAAGGGGGCAGGTGGTGGTTTTGTTGTTTTAACCGTTCAAAGGGAACTGTTCGGTGCAAGGTTTAATAAACTTCGTGCGTGCGTGCGTCTCCAACAACCAAGGGCAAACTTTCTTGCTGCCCTTGAGCCCGAGCGGTGCCATATAACAGCCTCCTCTTGAAATAAGCCCCTGGGTACCTTAGGGCGTAAGCTGCGATCGCGAATTTTAAAATAACCCATTAGGGATCCAGGTGGGAGCTTTGTCCCCACACACCAAGTGTGACTCTCTCCTTCCACGCCCTCCAAGAAGAGTGGCTCGACCAGAGGCGCTCCGGGCCCCCGATCCTCTCCTTAATGCAGTCTGAGTGGGCACTGCGGCGGAGAGGGGATGCGTCGCCCCAACCTCGAGAACACACGGGAGCCGACACCTTCCTTTGTGCCTCCCCTCGGCTCTGAACTTTGCCGCGCGGTCGGTTCTCCTTTAAGAAAGTAGCTATCTCTGAATATGTAACGCCGGCGGCGGCCAGCCGGGCGGAGGGGAGCCCACCGGCCCGGGTCCCCGCGCGCGCCGCGGCCGGGGCGCACGGAGAGCGCGTCCACACACGCCGGTCCCGGCGAGAACCCGGGGCTGGGAGGGCGGGGGCTAACGGGAGCACAGGGCTAGGGATCCTGAGCCGGGCGCGGGGTGAGCGGCCCGTCGCGTTCATTTCCATAAGAAAGCTGAAATCGCGGTTGGAGGGAGGATTTCTCGCCCTAACCGCCCTCCCCCTATACCCGGTTTTCGGCAAGAAGCGGGCTCCGGAGCTCAGAGCCCTACGTGTGTGCGCTGGTCTTTGATGGTATTGATAAAATGTGGTTTCAGATGTTGCCCCGACTGAGGCCGGTTTCCTGTCTGTTGTGCGGAGTGGAAGGACCGCGCGGGGTGAGTCCGGGGCGCGGGGGGAGCGGGCAGGAGAGGCAGGGGCAGGGCAGAGGGAGCGCAGCCTGGACCCTCGGAGGAAGTTCTCCGGTGGGGTTCCTAAGAGGACAGCCGGGATGAAACGAAGAGCCCGAGGACAGAGTGGGGGGGGGGGGGCGGGATTGGGAGGAGGGGTCACGAAGCCCCCAGCCCAGCCGCCTGGCTGGTGGGAAGGTCCGGCCAGCCTTGCCAAGTGCCTCTTCAAACACCCGGGTAAACTTTCCCTCGCCGCCGCAGACCCTCTTCCTGAGAAGGAATAAAGCGAACTTGCTCACACACTCGGTCCCACGGACGGTTCAATTGTTCCTCCTTTCGCCTTGAGCCTCTTTTCGGCTTTCAGTGTGAACAGCAGCCATGTGTCCTCAATTCTATTACATATATATATATATATATATATATATATAATCTCCTAGGTACTTTATGATCCCATCTGGAGAAATTAAAACCCAGATCTGTAATGTTTATTCTTAGATAGTTTACAAAAAGCAGGGGGGAAAATGTGTGAGACACATGTCTGCAAATATAACAAAAGTACTTTCCCTTCTGCTTGAGAAAGTGGCCTGCAAATGGCTTCCCTTTACTGGTTCTGGACCCCTTGTACTTCCCCCAAGAAACTAAATGGGGTCGGGAGGAAAGCACCAATCAGATCAAGCAATTAAATGCCCATTATGACTATTAATGACTTTATTACTAATGGTTGGAGTGAAGGACTCCAAAGCTGCTCGCGGTGATCAAGCTGTTTCCAAATTCTGCTACCTAAGATGTTTACAGCACTCCACCCCAACGGAGGAGGTCAGAAGCTAGAGAGGATGTTTTCAAAGAGTCCACCAGTAGGTATCCCATGCACAGTCAATGCTGAATTTCTCTCTTTCAGTAAAGTTTATTGCTACTCCTGATAAATGAGGGAATCTGTGTTTCTGGGGGGCATCGAGTTATGCGATGAGTTACCAGGCTTGGATGCGGCCCTGGAGTGGGGAGGGTGTGTTCCCTCACCAGTGACTGGGGAAATGCTCAAGCCCTAGAAGATTTTAAGGAACAAGTGTTTGAGATCTTCGGATGGGCTAATGGATATCCAGATGGCTGGGAGGTGAGGAAGTGAGCGATGGTGAACTTGGGGAGCCAAGGAGAAATGAGGAACGGGGCCTACCTTTAAAATTTTTCTTTTTGCTTGTGGGTTGAAATGGTTTCGGCCTGTCAAAAGCTGAGCGACTGCTAGCGAAGTAAAGGGTAGCGAGAAGGGTCTGTTGGGGTACTGGCTACTGTGACTGGGTTTGTTTATTAGTGAAGATGGTTTCTCGCTCCTCCCTGCCTCTTTGTGGACACCCTTGTGATCCCAGATGGAAAGAACTGACCTGGGAGGGCACAAGGGAACCAGCTGCCTGTTGGGATCCCATAGCAAGAGGAGAGGGACGGGGCAACTTGCAGGGGCTCTGGTCAGCCACCATGCAGCAGGGGGAGAAAGGCGGCCAAACCTTTGGAGAGGAGCTAGCAGCTCATTTTGCTGTAGGTCACCTCCGCTCATTGCCCTGGAGTCCAGCCCTTTCTAGTGGCCTCTCAGGCCGCTGGGTGAGTGGGGGGCAATGAATTTCAAGTCTGTCTTGTTTGGGACGTGTCCCCAGCACCCTGGCCCCTGGGTGGAAGCCCAGAGCAGCAGCATACATCTGGTTCTGATGTATTTACCAGGCGGGCATGGAAATGCCCACGCTGCACGGCAGAAACCTGAGCTGCTGGCGACCAGCAAACTCCTCTGCTAAGCAGCGTAAAAGTTTGGATAGTTTCAGAGTGCCGGGTGGCCCCTTGTCTTGACGGGAAGCACATGATCACCCCCTCCCCGTTCTATTTTGTTCGAGTTAATTGCCCAGCAGTGAGGGCATCTCACACCTCAGCCAAGGAATACTGCAGAGAAAGGAGTCCTCCACAGGTAACAGGATAGCGTGGAATCATCTTGGCCACCCGGAGGGTCCCACAACCTCACCTGAATGAAATGGGCCTGGGGTAGTCTCCCTTCACTGGCTCCCAGGGTGCCTGTCTCTCCTTCCTGGCCCTGACTGTTAGCAACCTACATAATACCCTGGGTCCTGAGAGTAAAACTACCATAGCTTCCTTGAGTGGGCAGCCGACCGACCCCAGAGGCAGATCTTCACAGGACAGCTTCATATGTCAACAACAAATTCCCTGCTGACCCTGAGAACATCATGAAAGAGGGGGCAAGAGCTGGCACGAAGCTCCCCTTACTCTCAGCCATTTGTGCCCTGCCTACCACTGAGCCTGGCAGGGGGGAGAGGGGCAGGGCTTGGGAACAGGGCTTAGAAAACCCATTGTTCCCCTGCCTTGGGTCAGCTGCAGACAAGCCTGAGACAACAATACCTATGAGGAGGGGCAGAGGAGGAGGGTGGAGCTGGCCCTCCAGTCCTCTCTGGCTGTACTATCAGGACTTCTAGGGGCTCTGTGCTGGGGGGGGGGGGGAGAGGAGGGAAGAAAAGAAAGAAAGAAGGAAAGAAAGAGAAAGAAAAAGAAAGGAAAGAAAGAAAGAGAAAGAAAGAAAAGAGAAAGAAGAAGGAAGGAAAGAAAAAGAGAAAGAAATAAAGGAAGAAAGAAAGAACAGAAAGAAAGAAAAAGAGAGAGCTCTCCCAAAGCGCCCATGTGAACCACATGAGGTGGCCCTGGGGCAGGACACTGGAGGCTCCTTTGGTCTCTGGGACTCGCCCTGCCCTGCCGTTCTCTCCCTTTACAGGAGGCGTCTATCATCTAGGTCTGGCGGGACTTGCTTTCTCAGGAAACCTGGTGGGCGAGTCTGGTCAGAGGTGGAGGCAAGTTTCCGCAACTTACAACTCGCTTTGAAACTGACACAGAAAGTGGGCAGCGAATGCTGTCACCCAGAGAGGGCCTCCACGGCCCTTTTCTCTCCCGGTGGACTCCTGAGACTCCCCCTAAGTGGCCCTTAGACATTCAAGATGTCAGGTAAGCTGGGAGGAGGAGTTTGATCTGTCCCCTGCACCCAAGTAAATACAAATACATTTTGCTCCTTGAAAAGAAATGTCACCGCTTTAAACTTGCCCCAGCCAGAGATCCAACTAGTTGCATCAGGGTCTCTTGTCAGCAACCTTACCCCATCCTGCCTCGTGTCCTTCTTTGTGGCCTAAGGTTGCATTTTAGGGGGGTTTCTACAACGCTGCTCATGTCAGCAAACCTCCCTGTCTCCAGCCTCACCCCATCTCCCTGCCCGGAACGGTAGTCGGAAACCACAGACACACAAATTCTCGTTAAAATTTTCTGTTATTCTTCCCGATGGGAAGAGTTGACAAGACATCGACATTAAGTTGCATAAAATACAGTGGACTGATCAGCCAGAATGCATCTCATTTGCACTTGTACGGAGCCAGGGGTAGTGTCACTCCCTCCCTCCAGTTCTCTCTGCCATGCTGGGCTGCCTGGCTGGAATTTCCTAGCCGGCCCCACTCCGGAGGCCATTGGTGAGGTCGGAGCCCCAGCCCAGCCCAGTTCAGGCCAGCCAGGGTTGGGGGGGGGGAGGTGGGAGGGCAGAAGCCTCTGGAGGCCTGGCCCGAGGGTTGAGCCAACTTTGGCAGACCTTCCACTCTGGGCTGCCCCGGGGGGGCTGTGAGGCCCTGCTGGGTGGGCGCAGGCGGCTGGAAGCCCCACAGTCTGCAGCTCTTCCGAGGGGCCCCCCTCTGGGTTGAATTAAAGGAAGAGGACACCATGAAGGAGAGGGATGGTCACTGAACACAGTTTATACCCACTTCTACCCTTCTTCCCCAATTTTGTTCTCATCACCTCCTTTGTCACCAGTGGAGGGGCACCGCGTCCTGATGGGTTCTTCTCCCTACTCGTCCTCCTGACCTCAGAGCGTGAGGGCTTCTTCCTTTTCTCCCGCCTGGCCCAGCTGCCCTCCTGGGACCCAGAGTTCCCAGAAAAAAAAAAAAAAAAATGCCTTTCTCATCAACTCTCAAAGGCCCGGGCAGCTGCAAGGGGGAGCCTCGGGAACCCAGTGGGGGCACCAGGGGGAAGTTTGGGGTCTTTATGCTGTTCTGCCTCACCATTCACAATCACTCCCCTGCTGCTTTGGTCTCAACTTTCCCGAACCGGGTGCTGGGGCTTCAACTCCTATCCACCAATACCTACCCAGAGCAGGGGCGCCGGGTCACTGCCAAGGTTTGGTGGTGAAGGGAGGCCTGGGGGCAGCGGTGACAGAAGGGCCAGAGGGTATGGGGGGCTCGGGGAGCCTCAGCGAGGGTGGGGGGAGGACTCGAGTGCCCAAGCTTAGCCTCCTTGAAAGCCTCAAAAGCACGTCCCGGGGGCGTCTTTTCCATGGTGTCCTGCTTGCTCTCCTTGCAAAGGCCATGGTGACTCTGACATCCGCCAAACCCAGGAGCTCCCCTTTTCTCCAGCGTTCTTCTTGTCCAGCAGGGAGGCGTGTGGACTGCTTCTGGGCCTCCACTGCCAGGCCTGATCGCAGCCCATGACCTTCGCGGAGGGGTGGGGGCGGGGGGGAGCAACCAAGGGCCAGGGATGTTGCCCAGCAAGACCGCGGCCTCACTGCGCCACCGGAGGAACAGCCACCGACGAGGCCCGGCGGACCCAGGCGCCGCCACCCACCCATGCCCGCGGCGGGCCTGAGGGAGCGCAGGGGCCGAGGCCGTGAAGCCGGGCAGCCAGCCTTGCACCATTGACAGCCGGGGCACGTCTGCGGAGCCCGGGGGGAACAATCAACGGACTCTATGTCCCGGGAGCTGGGGACACGCCTGTAAGGTGTGTGATAATTTAAAGATCCTTGGTACTACTTTTGCTTGAATCCTTTGTTACAGCTTTGTCAGCTTGCGCGCCTTCGGCTGCTCCCTCTCCCCGGGCCCGCCCGCCACCACCACAGCACGCCCCCCCCCCCAGACCCCCTCCCCTCAGCCCCGTCCCTCTGCGGAGAGGGCCTGGCGCTGGGGATCTGCCCAGATCAACTGCCCGCTGCAGATCTTCTCCTGCATAATGCTTGTCCCTTGGTGAGGATTTCCCCTTCGCGCTTGGGGCAGAGGAGCTCGGTTCGCATCGCCCTTCGCCTTTGGGGGAGGCTCTCCGGGGAAGAACAAGCTTTCTGAACGTGACCTCGGACTGCTGCAGCGGTGGGCTCCTGCTGTTGACGAATGAGTAGCTCACCTGCCACAGGCCGGGGTGACTGGGGTGGGCACAGCAGGGTGCATGGGGAAGGGGTCACCTGCCCTCCCAGAGTAAGGACGTGAGGGTTCCATCAGAAAGAGCAGGTGGGGATAACACAGAGCTTGGAACTAACTTGGCTTCTACTGGCTCCAGGGCCACCGGGTCCCAGCCTCCTTGGGTATAATTGTCCTTCCCCCAAACCCCAAATTAGACATGCCTCCTCTTTGGTCAAAGCACACCTCTAGGTAGGGTATTTAAAGGATACTCTGGCACACAAGAGGTGCAGGTAAACTTACATGCTTCGTTGTATAGGGCTATGCATTTCCCCATAGGTCTCCTATTTAATTTGTCTTCATTCCTCCTTTCTAGGCCTTTCTGCCTGCTCATAGCCACTGGGAGAAAAATCAAGCGTAAGCACCTCTCCCTATGTTATGTAACACATTCACACAGGGTTCCTCAAGTTACCATTTTGCCGCAAATCAGCCGGCACAGGGTTTCCTGGCCTTGGGGTGGGGGTGAGAGTGTCAGGGTGAGGCTAATAGAGGTGTGTGTGTGTGGGGGGGGGGTTCATTCCCCGGAGACTTTTATTCCCCTCCTTGAAGCCCAGTTCAAGGCCCAGGAACAAAGTGGGGAAGTAACTGATCTGTCTTTTGGTCTCTCCCCTCCCTTTCACCCCCTCCCTTGTAGGTCTTCCTCTTTGATAAATAGAGGAAAGCCGGTGGGATCAGGTACATATATAAATAGTGTTGACCTCCTCGGCCCCTCCTCATTGAAAAGCAGAAAGCCCATTACAGGGGCAGGTTGCTCAGTGCCTTTGAGGATCCACCATTACCACCCCGTGGACTTCACTGGACCCCAGACTACTTACTTTGCACCGCTGTCTTGTTGAAAACATCCAGGACAACTATTAAATAGTTCTCAGAAGAATTAAAGACATTCTTCAGGTCTGAAACATTTTTAAAGCCCTGGATGAAATCTTCAAGGAGCACAAAGTATAATCGGTAGGACCACCTGAGGAAGTCTGAAAGCTTTGTCCCCCACCCCTCCCCAAAGTTAATCAAAGATACTGTAGACGTCATTGTGCTCACTAAGGGGTTTTTCCGCATTGTAACCTACAGATTGTCCAGACCAAGCTACCAAGACATTTATTTTCATTTTGTTAGTTTCTGGGCACTACACTTTCTGATTAGACTTGTTTATTTTTAAAAACTCTGCTGGAGAGTTTCCAACCTTGGAGGTGCAAATGAAAGCGACTCTCCCTCCCAGGTTCTTACAGGGTGGGGGAGGAGCACAAACCTGTCTGGTCCCAACTCAGACCTGGAGGTTGCCCCATCTGAACCTGGGTGGAGTGAGGGTAGCTGGTTCGGGCACCTTGTATTTCAGTGCTGGCACAAAGCGAGCTCTTTGAAATGAATATCTATTCTATTTCAGTGTGCAATGTTCCAGCCGACTAAATGGGCTTGCCTTCTGCCGAGAGGCAGTCCTGGAGGACACAACTAATGTGCAATCTCCCAGGCAGCTCTTCATCAGAGCATCCCTTGTCCTTTTGTTTTTGTTTTCGTATTAAAAGATGTTTTTGCTTTCCTCTCAGTGTCCGTCCTGTTATTTTGTAGCTACAACAATGAAACAGGAACAGTTTATCATTCTTTTTTGTCCTTTGTAACCATGCCTTGTATTGGGATGTCACAAAGCCCCAGATACACCTCAGCGTGCCCTGTGCTTTTGATGTTTACTTGCTACTCCCCGGGTCACCCAGAGACCCACACTTGATTCTGCCTTCTGCCCCTCCCAGATGGTTCTCTCCTGGACAAGTTCCCTCTCCCAGCTTGCAGGGAAAGGGGATTCACTAATTTGCTTCTCAAATTAGAAAAGACCAAACCCAGGTTCTCCAGGTAAGTGATTCTGGCTTATACTGGTGACTAAGATGTTGTGTGGGAGCATCTCCCTAGGATCACGTCTCTCAAGGAGAAAGAATGGCAGGCACGTTTCCACAGGCATTTCTAAAACTATGGCAACTAAGTGAGTTTTACGGATAAAATTCTGGTGTATTCCCAGGCAGCTCAAGTTATTTAAATTTTAGTTTTGTTCACATGTATGGGCGCACACAGGCCAACTAGGATTATGTTACCAGCGCATTGCCACTGGACAAGTCTGGTGACAGCAACTCAGATCAACAAACTTATTTTCTGGAGAGTGACAAATTAAAAAAAAAAAAGGCTCCCCATACCTTTAAAATTGTTATTTTATACTGTTTTTTTTTTAATTTTTTTTCAACGTTTATTTTATTTTTTTGGGACAGAGAGAGACAGAGCATGAACGGGGGAGGGGCAGAGAGAGAGGGAGACACAGAATCGGAAACAGGCTCCAGGCTCTGAGCCATCAGCCCAGAGCCCGACGCGGGGCTCGAACTCACGGACCGCGAGATCGTGACCTGGCTGAAGTCGGACGCTTAACCGACTGCGCCACCCAGGCGCCCCTCTTTTATACTGTTTAACACCCCCCACAGCCAGGAATTGGCCAGACTTCCCTGCTTCCTTTTCTAGGAACAGGTAACTAACCACTCTCCCCTCCTCCAAGACTTGGCTATTTTTAAAAGCTAAAATTTCTCTTTCCAAAGGGAGGAAAAGGAACGAATTCCATTAATGAATTACGTACACGGAATGTGACTTGTCTGGGACAATTGTATTTGTAAATAAATGGCTTCCTGTTGATTATGTACCTTTTACTGAAAAATGAACTCTAATGTCTCTGAGCACTTAACAGAGCACATGTTTCAACTTATGGTTTACTTTCCACTTGTTCTTTTTTTTAACTCACTAGAAAGAAATCGGGTAAAAACTGAGTCAGTCGAGGTGTGGGGGTCCTTATCCTTCAGCGTCCATACTGACCTGGGGAAGAGCCACCTCTAAAGTTCTCACGTTTGCCAAAGTGTAAGCAAAGGGGGTTGGCTCCCTGGGAATGTTATTGGAACCAATCTGGAGAGTTTCACTTTTGCCCCTGGGTCTTTCTAAAGAGGACCGCGGCCTCCTTTTGCAGCTTCCAAAGCGAAGCCGGCGCGGAATCGTCTCGGCGGGTAGACTGGGCATCGACCGGACTCCTGGCACCCCTGCCTTCCCCTGAGGCCCGCGCTCGCCCACCGTCAGCGCAGTAGCGCCGCGCAGGCCCGGGGCCCGCAGTCTCCAGCCGGGGACTGTGCTCGGGAGGTGACCGTGACGGGGCCGGGCACATGCAGCGTTCCCCGGGCGCTCGAGTTTCCGCCTAGGCGCGGGCCGAGTGCCCAGGGTGACCCAGGCACTCCACTCCCCAGTGCGGCGCGCAGGGCCTGGAGGCCCGAAACTTCACAAAGCCACCAGCCTCCTCCAGCCCTGCTCCCCCCCCCCCCCACCCCGCCTCCCCAGCCTCGGCTTCCTAGATCCAGGCGCGTTCCCAAACAATGCGACCTACCCGCCTGCGAGGCCAGTCCTCTGTGACCCCTACTCCCCCCACATTCGAACTGTAGCCAAGCGTTAGACCCTTATTCTGAGCCAGCGCGCCCCCTTCCAGGCACAGCACCGTTCGGGAATGGACGCGGAGTGCCCCCCTTCTGTAAATCCCAGGCTCTGGGCCCTGGGCTGGGCCAGAGTCTTTGAAGACCCAGGGGGTCCAACTCCGTGGTTGCTTTTCCTCCAGGGCTCCAGGGCTTGGGGGCAGCGGGGAGGTGGATCTCGGAGAGAGCCGGGGTCAGCAGGCCCTGAACTCAGGCCCTCTGAACTCTGCGGTCCGCGGAGGGGGTGGCTGCAACCGAATCCCGGGGAGAGGAGGCTGGACCCCAGCACGGAAAATCCGCAAACGTGGAACAGAGGTCGACAGGCATTTCTACCTTTAATTCTCCCAGGCGTTCCAAAAAGTGTTCGTCAGTACCTCTACGACCTCCAGCCGACCCACCTTCCAAGGAAACTTTCGCAAGTTTTCATTTCTCTCTCTCTCCGCAATTTCTTAGGTTTTCTCCAGCCACCGGCCTTGTCGATCGCTCTACCAACTGCCCGTTAGTCCCCAGGGCTCCCAAGGCCTGGGTATTTCCTGAATTATGATAATAATTGTCATTATCAGGCTGGGGAACGATCGAAGGATCAGAGAACAGGGGATTGAGGGGGAGAGCAGAGATGTTGATGAAAGGAGATATTTCAACCTTGTGTTTCAAAAAAGTTTCAGTTGACAATTATCAGTAACCCCGATAGACAACTCCATTAAAAAAAAAAAAAAAAGAATTTACTACTGCTCTTGAAAAGCCGTTATTTTTTACATCGCTTTTAGGAAGATAGATGAACAAAACATCGCGTTTCAAGCCATTTTGATCTGTAATTAAATGGCAGGATCGGTTTGTATTCTCCTACGGCTTTTACAGAAGTTGCAGTGATCCAAAGTCGGGTTGCTGTGTCAGAGTGGCATTTTATTAATGAGAATACAAAAAGCTTGCATATTCTTAGCCCTGCTTGAATTTAGTTGCTAAGCAACCGGTGTATGGTAATTCATCCGCGAAATTTAAATCTTTGAGAAAGGATCGTGCGTTTTGCTGAATGGTCGCCACGAGGAAAACAACTTGTGGGACTGGCAGCAGCTGTTACGGCCGGGCCGCGGGCCGGGCCGGGCCAAGCAGGGATCGGGCCACCCCACCGCGACCGCCACCGCCCCACCTCGGCGCCCCGCCTGCCCCGCGTCCCAGAGAGAAACCCGGCTTCTGCCGCCCACTGCCCCGGCGCTACCCTCCTCCGTTTCTCTGATCCCCATTTCCACTTGAGGCAGGCCCTGCACCTGAGCAAGCCATCTGCATCCCCAGGGCTTCGGAGTCCAGGCCGCGAATTTCCGCAGCCCCTCCCCTCACCCGCACCCACAGGCGCGCAGGACACACACACACACACACACACACACACACACACTAGCGCACACATCGTGCCGCCGCGAGAATGCCAGTTGCCCTCTTCCCAGACCCCTCTGAGGTCACTTCCAGAGCCAACTCTTCCTTGAGGAAGACCCGACTCATAAAGAACGCAGCCCACAGCCCTCCAGAAGGCCAGGCGGCCGCCGCTGGCCGGCAGTGACATCATAGGCTCCTGCTCGCCACGCTCGCGCCCACATTTTAGGATACAGGAACAAACACGGATGTGAAATCAAGAATGAGAGAGAGAGTAATCTAATTAATAGGCCATGAGCCAGGCTAACAAAATCAAAGAATCTGATTACACAAGTACCCCTCTTGCTATCTCCGCTCCCCCACCCCCACCCATGCCTTCCAGCCTCCGCACTGTTTCCTTTCCTGACTGGAAAGTTCAGGCAAACCCAGAGCCCTCTGATCTCCTTATTGAAATCAAGATCAAGCCCACGGTGGGGCTCCTGCAGCCGGGAGGTCACGTGGGTGAACTTCAGGCCCTCGGAACAGTCGCCCTGAGGAACTGAGAGGTGACCAAGTGAACCGGAGAGCTGGAGAGGTGGCCCCCACACTTCTGACGCGCATCGCTCTTACCAACATCAGCAACAGCAACACCTGTACTGACTGCTCATGCTGTCTGACCAGGACTAGGAGGGAGAGGTTCTTATCACAGCCATTTTAGGAAGAACTATTTTTTAAAAACAAACATAACACAACTCTTTCTTCCTACATCACCTTGTTTCTGAGTCACTGATAGCCTCGCAGTCTTAACTCAAAACTCTCAACACCTTTCCCCTCAGCATAGATGTCTGAGCACAGCCAGGTATTAGGTTTTATCACCGATACATAGCATCTGTTCTAATCAGTCCGGTCAGCCACGTGCATTTCATGAAAGAAGAGAATTCTTTCGATTCTATCCTTCTGCCTTGAAAAAAACCAGGTCCACCACCTAAATAATTAATTTCAAGTCTGCATCCAGTGCCAATACTTGTTGCATCCATTTTAGAGTTTGATTAATTACCCTGGAACTTGGGCAAACTAAACTCCATGTGGAGAGAATGTTTCTTCCTTCAATTTAGTTCTGAAAGCTACAAGTTATTGATGGCTCTTGCTCTATTTACATACAAATTGGTGCAAATATGCCCATATCCTAAAAAGCATTTTGTATAAATATATAAAAGTGTCATTTTTGATTTAGCTTGAAGAGGTTGATCATTTATTACAAAAATAAACGAATAAATACAACAATATATTGTTGCTTCCAACAGGATAAATACTTTACAAATATATAATTTAAAAAACAAATTTAATTGTTAAAATTATTTAAAATATTACACTTATCGATAAAACTATCAATAGTATATACTGCATTTAATATTAGAACCAATTATTCTCTGAATGTTGAAAACCATTCATACAAAACAGATTATGAGCATGGTAATAAGCGAACACTGGAGGCTACAGGGAAGCAGAGGGAAACTCTAAGATCAATAATGAACAGTTCTATTTTGGAACAAAGAAGTAGTCCTTGGCTAAGTACTTCAAAAAAAAAAAAAAAAAAAAAGGCAGAGCAACAACAGTAAAGTGACTATTTTAAATACACCTTGAATGATTTATCGCCCAGACTTGCAAGGGAAGATGGTTGGGTGGTTGAGGTGACAGGGGCTTGGACGAGTGAT